AGAGGCCTTTATCGGGTTTCACGCGTAAGAAAGTGGCCACATCCTGGTAGTTTGGAAGTGTGGCCGATAAACCCACCAGTCGCACCTCCTCCTGGGTGGTCTCAATATTCCTAATGGTACGTGCCACCAGGGCTTCCAGAACCGGACCACGTTCGTCGTGAAGCAGGTGGATCTCATCGATAATTACCAATCGCACTAGGCTCACGAATGTACGCTCTCCGCCCTTTCGAGTGATAATATCCCACTTTTCTGGTGTGCACACAATCACCTGGGTGGCAGCAATCTGTTCCCTGGTCAGCTGGTGATCTCCGGTCAATTCGGAGACCGTCAGATTATAGCAGGCGAGGCGTCGTCCAAAATTGCCCACCATTTCCTGTACCAGTGACTTCATGGGAGCCACGTAAATGATCTTGAAATCCTGCGCATTGATGGTGCCATCTTCGTTGATGTGCTTACCAATCTCCCGCATCATGGTTAGCAGGGCCACATTGGTTTTACCCGCTCCAGTGGGGGCACACAGCAGCATATTCTCGTCACTGTCCAACGCGGCCTTGTACAGACGACTTTGTATGCGATTGAGGGTCTTAAAACCCTCGAACACGGGCTGCACGTATTTCGGGAGCTTGTCCACCGGCTGAAGCTCCTCGTTGTCATCGAACGGTACTGGTTTCAGGGCAGGCACGTGCACCTCTTCGTAGCCCTTGCGCTGTTTCCGGTAGGAACCATCGGGCAGTTGACAGCGTTTGTTGGCCATAAAGTGGGATCCCTGAGTGAATGCCATCTCGTCCAATTCAAGTAGTTGCCGCACACCGGCCACCTGACCTGCAGCTGCCGCTCCTCCATCCTCTGCATCCCCTTTGCCACGCTTACTGCCACGAGATTCGCCCTCGTCCTGCTCCTCTGCCTTTCCCGTGTCCAACTGCCGGAGAATCTTGGCTAGCGCGGAATTCCCGCGCATTTTCTCGCGAATCCTTTGTCTCTCGCTGTCAGTTTGAGCTGACGCCAGCATGGTGCAGTACAGGACCATTTGGCGATTAAGCTTCAGCTGCTTGATGAAATCAAAGCAATCGTATCCCAGAAGCAGCACCAATTGGTTTTCGCAATCGCGATCGTCGGCGGCATCTTTGAGGATCTTAAGCACATCGGCGGCCTTGCTTTGCGACACCATGGCATCCTTGTAGAACTTGCTCAGGCAACGCTGCAACCAGTAGGCATCTATGTCCAAAGGATGCAAAGAGCGCTCTTTTTTAACATTATTGGCGGCTTCCTCGTTGGCCAGCTGTGAAAGGGGAACGAAATATGAATTATAAAGAGGATTCCCAATTTTACTTGTATAACTCACATTCTCCGCATGCAGGGTGTGATCAATGCGCGCCTCTTCGCCCTCGTCCTGGGCATCATCATCACGAATCTCGCCATACATGTCGTTGTCGCTCTCCTCCTCGGATTCCTCAAACTGCACATTGATGCCGTAGGTTTCATCGATCTGCTCCTCGTTGTTGGGAGCAGCAGTCAATGCATTCACGGCATCACTGCCGAAGTCTGTGATCTTCTTACCCAGGTTAACCAACAGGGCAAAGCGCTCTTCGGTGACTGCGCCCAGCAAACTGTCCACGTCCCTCTTTCGCTCTCGATCCTTAAGGCGATCGTTCTTCAGCACAGCCAGGATCTCGTCGGCGGCACCGCACAGGATGTCCCTGGGCTGGTCGCCCAAAGCTTCCTGAATAAAACTGAGCAGAACCTCGTAGGTCTGGCGGGTTTCCTGCGTCTTGGGTCGATAGACAATACCGACCATCTCGTCGATGCCCTCGGAGAGCAGTGTGGCGCCCTTCATCCGCTCGAAATCGTACTGAGCCTCATCTCGCTTCTGGCGCTTCACCTTGCGCTCCTCCGTTTTCTCCGGCTTCGTCCGCTGGTAGCGATCGCCCATCCGGGTTCCGTCAAGCTTTCCCACCAAGGAGCACACCTCGCCGGTGGCCTCATCGCGCCGCGGACGTTCGATGAGTCGTACATCGGCTTGCAGCACAAGATTGGAGTTCTGAAATGGGGAAAACACATTTAATACATATGTTTGTGAAATTCTGCGGAGACGCCGCATGGAATGGGGAAACTTTTTCCGGCCTGGATTCCGAGGTTCCGCACTTACCGCCTTGTACTCGTACTGCAGCTGACGAGCTGCGGCATCCGCCATGTCTGTTGAGTTGTTTTTACGCGCGTTAACTACTTAAATTAACCTATTTTAATAGATTTTTCAATAATTTTAAAGTGAAAAGCCGCTGTTTGTGGTTGGCCACCACAGAGTTGCATTTAAGTTGTTCCATTCACACAAAAGTGTCATTCACACAATGCGTACGATTTCTACCATTTGGTATATATTCAAAAATTTAAATTAGTTTTTAATCATAACAAATTGTTTGCTTATAATTATATTTATTATTATAATTACTAATAGCAAATTATTTTATTTGTTGAGTAATCACAAATTTGAATATAATAGTTAAAAATATAATAGTTATTTATTTTTATAACGAAAATATAGAAATTTTAAGTTAAATCGTTGAATAAAAAGCTTACGTAAAAGATTGAAATTACATCTAAACACCACCAGTAATTTGTTAAAATAAACATAACTAGTATTTTTAGCATATTTCCCGTTCTGAATCATGCAGTGTGACCTTACTCTGATGACGACGTCGGCAGCGACGCTGGCGTCTATTTACAACGCATCGTTTTTGTTTATTGTTCATTTCAGTCAGTTTTTTTTCGAATAGGTCACAAGCTTATATATGAGGCTGCAGCTGGTTTAACTGGAAACACTTGTGGTCCGCCGACTGTTCGAGATCATTGCACACGACTGTCACAAGTCATTAGTGTCGAGGAAACCAGAGATTCTAAGGGAAACCAGTGAGGAGCCAGTGCCAGCATGCTGCTGCCACCGCACCAGGAAGCCTGCAATCCCGGCTTTTGCGATTGCCCGTTCCCCAACTCCATCGAGGTCACCAACCACAAGGGTCACATACCCGACCTGGTGAGGTGCCGTTGCGGAGAGGATGAGCTCGGCAACGTGAGTCCCTGGCGGTGGCACGCCACAGACGAATCGGATGCCATTGTGACCGACAGGGACATCATCTTCCACCCCACCTACAGTCAGGGCACGGCGATTGTGAGGGGGGAACGGGCCCTTAAGCCAGGCATGGTCCACTTCTGGGAGATGCGCGTCATCACGACTCTGGCCGGCACAGATGTGGTGAGTTATCAGCCCGGCTTGGCAACTAGTTGGGATGCTCCGCGAGATGAATGTCAGTCAAAGTCGCCGCCTTAAAATAGATCACTGCCTGCTAGGCATCTGGTGTGCCCGATTCCATTGGTTACGACTTGATTGTTCGCTTCATTGTACTACTGATTACGGATTACAAGGCGGCGATAAGATAACAGACGCAGCGGGTGGGGAAAATCTCGGCAGACAGCCCAACTAGATGATAAGCCAGCAAAAGTTCAATGTAAACAATGTGTTCTTAATAATCGCCTTCCCTTTTCTCCTTCTAGATGTTCGGCATCGGCACGGAGAGCGTTAATCTAGGGCAGTTTAAGTTCCACTTTGTCTCGGCTCTGGGTACCAATGCCCAGTCCTGGGGCTTTTCGTATTCCGGTCGCATACAGCACTGCGGCGAGCAGCTGCCCTACGGCCAGAAGTTCTCGCAGGGATGCCTGATTGGAGTCTGCCTGGATCGAACGCGGGGACACTTAGAGTTCTATCTGAACCGCCGGTCGTTGGGAGTGGCCTACACCAACGTTCCCACAGATCCGGATGTCAACATATATCCAATGGTCTGCTCCACGGCGGCGAAATCCGTTATAAGGCTAATTAATTGCACGTCGCAACCGGTGACGCTGCAGCTGCGATCCTTCCAAGCTTTGTCCAGACAGCCCCTCAAGTTGGCCGAACTGCGTCAGATGCCGGGTCTGAAGGGCATCCTGCAATCGTACTGGTTCCTGGAGCCGCCAATTCGTTACTCCCGGAACTCTCGGGAACACGAATTGGACTTGGGCGACGAGGCGGTGCTCTCCAGTTCCAAGTTAAGGTTGGGACGCAAACAAAAGTACCGAGGTGAGATCATTCAGTCACTTCCACTTTTCCACCCATCTAATCACTACTTCCACAATTTCCAATAATAGAAACTGACGATGCGGCCGTTGACGAGGACGACTTGTACGCCAATGCACACAAGATCACACTGCGGAGTAGTGATAGCGGCGACGAGGAACACACCGCCTCCGTCCACGAGATGTGCGACGAGTATTTCCACTACTTGCTGTAGCTAGCACCTAAAAACCATATCAAAATAATTAATTATGCATTTATTTGAAGGAGCCTAATTATAAATGTATTAAGTAGAATTGTTAAAGAAGCGTTTAATTTACGTTATGTTTAGTCTTGTTAATATCAACAAATACAGACATTCTAAGGGCCGTTTTCTCGAGTCCCAGTTAACATTTCTCGGAGAGATGAACCTGAAAAAATTGTTTTTCTCGTTCCTGTGAGACTTAACTCTTACTGCCCGTTTCTTATTCAGATAAATTATTTTTATATCTGGTAGTTAATTTTATCAATGTCATGTTAACTTTTGTAATTGACTTAAATAGTGGTTTCGGAAAAGTTAAATATCTCAATGACACGATGTCTTATTTAACTGGATACACTTAATTAGAAGCCAAGTTCTAGTTAAATTTCGCGTGATAATGGACTCTGCCCAGATATATCATTTGTAAAACGAACTTCACAATGAGAAAACGAATTTGCTTTCCCGAATAATTCACTTAATGTTACATTTCTCTGAGAGGTAACAAACTGGATCCTTAACATGCGTTGAGAAATTGGCCCTTAGAAAATAAAAGAAATTATTTATTAGTTTTACTTGTCTTTATTTTGACGTCTTATTTCGACTTCAACATCGTACAGGATCTTTTGTGAGAACCGAAAATTTCGTTTCTATTATCATCTTACCAAGTTTCAATCACAAATCCGAGAAGTTTTCAAACCCCCGATAAAAATACAAGTACAAAGACCTTATTTGGTGCATCTGCAAACAGCATTGACATGGCTCATGGATTCAGCGACTGCTGGGTCCCTACTGACCCCGACGTAGAGCATGATGGAGGCCACACACACAACCAAGTCTGGTGTCGATGCGCACATAGTGAAGGCGGCCACGGTTATTCCTGGCAATGGGAGGCCACAGGACAGTCGGATGCTTTGGTCACTGATAGGAACATCCTTTTTCATTCTACCGGTAGAAATTACACTACCATTGTAAAAGGAAAACAGTCCCTGGAACCGGGCATGGTGCATTATTGGGAGATGTGTGTTACCTCTCGTATATTCCGCCCAGATGTGGTAAGTCGATTCGGGCTATCACCGTTTTTCAATCGCAGCTCTGTTTTACTGATAAGATGGATAAACCAACTTCAATCAGTCCTATGTTTGAATTGCAACCAGGTTTTAATTTCCTCTTTTCAGGTGCTTGGTATCGGTACGCAGAACGTTAGCCTTGGACAGTGTGCCATCAGAAATGTTTCGGCTTTGGGTAGCAATGATCATTCCTGGGGTCTCACGTTTTCCGGACGGATTCAACACTGCGGCGAGCAGCTGCCCTACTGGCAAAATATCCCCCATGGCTGTCTAATTGGAGTCTACTTGGATCGTTCTCGAGGCCACTTGGAGTTTTACATAAACCGAAAGGGATTAGGAGTGGCCTACACCAATGTGCCCGTGGATCCGAGCGTAAAGATATATCCAATGGTCTGCTCCACGGGACCGATAACTGCGATAAGGCTTAACAACTGTACGTCTGTGCAGGATACCTTACAGCTTCGATCCTTTCAGGCATTGGCAAAGAAGCAACCGGATCAGGTCTCCATACTTCGCCAAATTCCGGGATTCAGGGCGATCCTTAAATCCTACTGGTTTCTGTATCTCTTATTTCATTACTTCGAATAACCTGGATTTTCTTCAAAGAAAATTTACCTTAAATCTAAAAAATCCGTCCCACAACTTATCCTGTATTGTATACGGTTAATTTATGTTATGTATGCATTTATTTTAAAGCACGTAATTATAGAATCAAAAGAATTTGGAGAAATAATGGTTGTGTGCGTAAATAATTGAAATTGAACTTAAGACGAAAACCTACAACTAGGAAAGATAGATATATAAAAGTGATAGCCTGATAGGGAGGCTGGATGGTTAAGGAAACCCTTAGGTTAGGGTTGCAGTAAGCATCGTCCTCGAAAGTGTTTAAACTTAAACTAACTAAAAATCAATTGCCCATGCCTTCGACATCCGACGATCCGCGCTTGAAGATCACTCCCAACGGTAGCTAGTCCATGTCATCGTCGTCGTCGTCTGAAATAGTGTATTTCTTCTGAGACCGCTTGCGACGCGTCTGTTTCTTTGAAGTGGTGGCCGCTCCGCTGCCCACATTTGAAGATGATTGCGTGGGCGTGGCCGGGGCACTGGCCAGAGATTTGTTTAGTTTGAGCTTCATTTTAACAGCAGCCGCTGAAGTGGTGGCAATCTCCTCGTCGTCGGAGCCGTCATCCCCGCCATCGTCGTCGTCATTGTCCGAGTTATCCGAGCCCCCGCCGTTTCCATGTGCTTCCCCCGTATTTTCTCCTGCCGCCACTGCGGCTGCATCCGCTGCAGATGTTACCCTCTGCCTGGCGCCAACGAATACCTTTTGCAAGGCAATCGAATCTAGGTAGATCAGGGAGGCCTCTTCGTTGTAGATCTGTGCATTCTGGCACAGCTGCATAAAGTCCTTCTCCAGCTCGTTGAGATCGGCATACTTGCAGTCCTCGATGCGCTGCAGGATTTTCTTGATGTCCACTGGTCGCTTGATGATCTCGTAGTAATCGGGCAACCGCTGGCGCGACGGCAACTTCATGAATGGCTCTGACAGGGTGCGTCCATCCTGGTTGTGCTTAATTACCGCGCTCATAATCTTGTGCATCTGCTTCTTAGATCGCTTGTCCAGGTTCTGGCGTCGGCGCCGCTTCAGTATCATCGAATCGTCGTCTGACTCCTCCTTTCGATTCTTTCGCTTTCGTCGCTTCCGCTTGGAATCGTCTTCCTCCTCCTCCTCGTCGAACTCGGCGCCATCGTCGATAGCTTTCAGCCATTCCTTCTCCGTCAAGCTGTCCGTGTAGTCCACCTCCTTTCGCTGCCGGGAACCTCGGCCTAGATTAAAATAGTTCCACGGTTAGATAACGTTTTGAACAAATGAAAGCACTAAAACTCACCCAGAATGGTATCCTCGTCGTACTGATAGTGAAAACGCTCTACCTCGTCGTCGTCCTTTGTCAACCAGTCTGGTAACTCGGACTCATCGATAAGACGTTCCCTCCCCGGATGGATCTCCTCATCTTCCTTCTTGCGCTCCACATCCATTCGCTTAAAGATCTCGATCTCCTCTTCGCTGCGAGCAATCATCATGTTGATCATTTCATCATCCGGCACCTCATTTTCCTCCTCCTCTTCGTTGTCGTCCTGATGCAGAATCGTTTGGAGGAACTGCTGCCGCTCGCTACCCGTCGACTTTTGATCGAACATACCAGCTTGAATAACCTTCTCGTCCATGTTCAGCTTGTATCTGGCGGCAGCCAGGATCCGCTCTTCCACGGAGTTGACTGTCATTAGACGGAGAACGCGAACCTCGTTCCGCTGACCAATACGATGAGCACGATCCTGCGCCTGCAGATCCTGGTGAGGATTCCAATCGGAGTCGAAGATTACGACAGTATCGGCGGTCTGTAGATTAAGACCCAAACCACCGGCTCGTGTGGATAGCAGAAAGACGAAAACGTCCGACCCCTTGGCGTTGAACTTGCGCAGCAGTTCGCCACGATCCTCGGCCTTGGTGGTACCGTCCAGTCGAAGATAGCCGAATTGGCGCCATCCCAGGTAGTCTTCGATGATGGTCATGCACTGGGTCATCTGACAGAAGAGCAGCACGCGATGGTTGGTGGCCTTCAGCTTGGGCAGGATGCGGTCGAGCAACTCGAATTTTCCAGAGACGCGATACAGATCGGGTCCTGAAATCAAAAATTAGACTTTATTGATAAACCATTCAAGTTCTAACCCAAAAAGAAAATTTAAAGAACATAATTAATAACTATAATATAGCAATCATTATCTTCAAGTGTTATAGTTAAAAAGCATACCTATAATTATTGCATTGCATAACATTTTAAAATGAATAAGAGCAACTTACCAGACACCACTCCATGGCCTCCAGTGTGGTCGCAGTACTTCTCCTCGATGTGCTGGAACATAAACGGATGGTTGCACAGCTTGCGCAGTTGGACGATCGTGTTCATCAACGCCTTGGCGCCGCCCTTGCCATGCTTGCCCTTTTCGGATCCGTCGGTGAGCAGGACGCCCTTGCTCTGCATGTGCTTGTAGAGAACCCGCTGCAGGGCGGACATGTCGCACTTGATGATGTACTCCACCTTGTCGGGCAGCTGGTGCTCCACCTCCTTTTTGAGACGTCGCAGCAGGAAGGGACGCAGCACCTTGTGCAGACGGCGAATGATAAGGATGGTCTCCTCCTCGTTGAGCTCGACTTTCTCGCCCGTGGTGGCAAACGGGGCATTGAACCACTGCTCAAACGTGGAGCAGGACTTGAAGATTGAGGGCAGCAGGAAATTAAGTAGCGCCCACAACTCGGGTAGTTTGTTTTGAAGAGGCGTACCCGTAAGTAGCAACCGATACGGAGCAATGTAGTGCGTATTCAGAACCTGGGTGAGTTTGCAATGGTGGTTTTTCATGCGGTGACCCTCGTCGATGATCATGTACTTCCACTGGATCTTGGCTAGCACTGCTTTGTCCTTGATCACGTACTCGTAGGTGGTCAACAGCACATTAAACTTGGTGGCTCGCATTTGGTTTTGCAGCAGTCGCCTGCCTTGTGGGCTGCCCTTGTAGCTGACCACGCCCACTGCCGGCGCCCACTTCTCGAATTCCAGCACCCAATTGGGCAAGGTCGAAAGTGGGACGATAATCAAGTAGGGACCCATAACCTTTTTCCGATCCATCAGGTAGGTCACCAGCGAAATCGTCTGAATGGTTTTCCCCAAACCCATTTCATCGGCCAGAATGCCATTCAGATTGTTGTTGTAAAGCGAAACCAGCCACTCCAGGCCCTTGATCTGGTACTCCTTGAGCGAACCGTTTACCATGATGCTGGCCTGCTCGACAACCTTTTCGTGAATTGTGTGAGCGATGCTGTAGTATGTCTGCTCCTCCGTCCTGTACTCATCGTCCTCCACCTTGGCCTTAGTAATCAGATCCTTGGGATCATCATCGCTGCCCGTCGCCGCCGCCTTGTCGGTGACATCCTCCGTGGTCATTGGCTGCTCCTCCACCTTGGGTTTATGGTCCTCATTGCTGCCGCAGCTGTCCTCTTCGTCGTCGATCCAATCCCAGCCGGGATGCATGTTCAGCCAGCGGTGCAAGTGCTTCAGCATGGGAGCATCATCGCCGGTGAGCTTCTTGCCCGTACATTGCTCCACCACATGCACACGCATATCGGCAACAATGCTGCCCTCGTCAATGCCTATGTACTCGCCGCTCATCAGCAGCTCCTTTTTGAACAGTAGCAGACGCTTGCCCTCCTCCTCTTTCTTCTTCATCTGGTCATCCTTGTGCTGCTTTACCATCTGAGTGAGGTTGCTAATGTACTCATCCGTCTGAGACAGCAGGAAGGCCAATCGCTTGTCCTTCTTCTGATCAATCAGCTTTCGGTAACCCTCCTCATCCTCGGCCATCAGGCGTCGCATACGTTCCTTCTCGATGCGCTCTTGTTCCTTCTTCTGCTCGCGCTCCGCATTCGCGTGGTGGTTCATTACTGCCTTATTCATCCTGGCAAGCTGGGCCTGGTGGAGAGAATTCATTAGTTATCTCTCTCGTAACTTAATTGTAGTCCACTTACCTTGTTATTCCTGTGGAACTCTCTCAGATCCTTTCCGTGCTGCAGCACCGCGGCCAAGAACTCCAGATGCTTTTGCCGGCGTTTCCGTTCGGCCTCAAGTTTCTGTTGCTTCTCCAGCTTCTCAGTGGCTCGCGCCTCTCGCAGACCCTGCCGCTTGGTCCTCTTGTAGAACTTAATGTTTAGCGCCGTCTCCAACGTGGTATCTCTTCTCGTGCACTGGACAAACTCCATTCGCAGCTGTCGCTGGAAATTTAAAACCCTTAGGGCCCTCAACTCGATGGCTGCTTGCAGACGCAGATCCTCCGACATGGTGGCCGGCAGACGCTGTAACTCCTGCATGCGCAACGAAATCCTGGCTGCTATTCGGTTCTCCCTTTCCTGCAGCAATGTGATGGGATCCAGACCCACGGGCTTGGCCACCGTTGTAATGCGATTGGGTTTGGGCATGGGCATACCGGCGGGTGGCACCTGTCGCGGAGGACCTCCTCCCGGTTGAGGGACCTGACTGCCAGGCGGCATTCCTGGCAGTGCACCCCTCACTTGCGGCTGCATTGGCGAGGCTGGTATCAATGGCTGTACTCCGGCGGATCCCATGCTCAGGGGTTTGCCTCCGTTTGGCAACTGATGCTGCAGTTGCTCCGGTGGCGGGGGCTGCGGTTGCTGTTGTTGTTGTTGCGGCGGCTGTTGCTGCTGCGGGATGGGCGGTGGTCCTCCCACCTGAGGCGGCTGTGGTGGCAAAGGCTGTCCCTGCTGCATGTGTGGCGGCGGTGGAGCTACCTGCATTTTCTGACCAGGAACTGGCGGCCCATAAGGACTGCTGGCAGGTGGCGTGGAGCACTGAGGCGGTGTTCCTGCTGATGGAGGCGGTTGTTGCTGTTGTTGCGGCTGCACGGGAGGCTGACCTGGATGTTGGCCACCCGGCGGCGGTCCTCCTGGTGCTCCAGGTGGCCCAATCGGAGGTCCTGGCGGTGGCTGTTGCTGTGCCGCCTGCAGAGCCTGTTGCATCTGCATGGATATCGGCTTGTTCCTCGCCAGCAACCGATAGGCAGTGATCTGTGTGCGCAACAGGTTCACCTGATTGCCGTTGAGGTGCTGGTGCTTAGAGGTTGCCCGCATCGCCAGAAGCTGGGAGTAGCGAGGATCTTCCTGCAGGCCCTTCTCCTCCATCGAATCAATGGCTCGCTGGAGTGCATGAAGGTTTTCCTGACTGGAGCGCTCTGGAGGCGGAGGCCCACCGGGTGGGCCACCAGGCGACACTATGCAGGGTTGCGTGGGAGCCTGAAAAGAGGAAAGCATTTATAAGAATTTTATTAAGGTGCTATCAATTGTAAATGATTTTATCATGAAGTTTCAACAAAATTAACAAAATTAATAAAACCAAAATTGTGATATTTTATTGTAGATGGTATGATGAAATCTGCATGGCTAAAGGTCTTGGCCAGACTTCCCAATTTAAATTATGTAAGTTCTAAGATAAATCACTGCGATTTCCATTCTGTACAAAAGCTAACTTCATGAGCAAATAATTTAAAAAAGCTCCCAGAATCTCAGTTAGAGAATGTCAGTCAGTGAACCTAGTTACTGGGCAAAAAACCCGTTCCACTGTTGACTGTGCTCAGTACTTGATTCAGTCAAGACGAAATCGGTATAGACGCAATATACGGCATATAGCATATAGTGAGATAGCAAAGATAAGTGAAGCGAAAAAAGAACAGAGATGGCAGTCAGCAAATCACAGATCGAAGAGCTCTACGACTTCATCTATCCGCTGGCCGTAAGAGCTGGCGAAATCCTGCTGGAGGGATATCAAAATGCAGGAAAGAAGGTGGACCTCAAGGACGGAGAATTCTTCAATGTAGTGACTGCCTATGACAACCAGATCGAAGAGTTTCTCACGGAGAAGATACTGGCCAGCTATCCGGATCACAAGTTTATTGGCGAGGAGGATACCCACAAAAATAACAATGTGACTAAAGAGCTGACCGATGCTCCCACCTGGATCATAGATCCCATCGATGGCACCTCCAATTTCATCAAACAAATTCCTCACGTCTCGGTTTCAATTGGATTGTCCATTCAGAAACAGATTGTCTTGGGTGTGGTCAACAATCCGACCCAGAATAAGCTGTATACGGCGAAATTGGGACAGGGAGCCTTCTGCAACGGCAAACCCATCCAGGTGAGCAGCTGTGAACACATCAATGATGCCAATGTGGCATATGAGGTTTGCTTGCTGCACGCTCCAAAGATCCGGAATAAACACATCAAGAGAATCTACCATGTGGGATCCAATGCTAGGAGGTGGGTTAACATGTATAAAACTGTTGCTCCTTTTCATATATTTCGTAAATCCTTTCCAGACTCCTGGCCTATTCAGCTGTGGTGGATTCCCTTTGCATGGTGGCTGCCGGAAATTTGGATGCCTTTCACATCGAGGACATGTATCCGTGGGATTGTGCAGCTGGTTACTTGCTCATCCGTGAGGCCGGTGGTGTGGTCACTCATCCATATGGCGGACCCTTCGATATCATGAAGCCTGATTTGATCTGCGCCGGAACGGAGACATTGAGAGCTGAGATAGAGCAACTCATTCGAAAGGCTGATCAGGAGAAGCATGTGGGTGGGGAGTGAGTTTGTAAATCTAAAGAGCTTTTGCAAACAAGAATATAACCTTTATATTACCAACATAAAACTGAGTCTTATTTAGAGGAGGTACCGAGGTCATCATGCAAAAACAACTAGACCTTCTATATCCATTGTGTTAGCAGGGGGAAAAGTTTGTAGAGGTAAAGATAAAACACTTGAAATTCAACATTCATAAGCAACTGGATCGTCTAGATCTGATGTGTTAGCTCTACGTTTTAAATGATAATTAAAAATAAAAATAGTAAATTCGGCAACTTATCAAACACTTTATACACCAACAATGCTTAGATTTATACATTACATTGCATGTATATAAACTTACAATATTTGTATAAAAAAAAATTATATTAGAATTCTCCGATGGTTTATGAACGTATTTCCTACATTGCCTATTAAAACTTTTAACACTTACCTTAACCTTGTTTTTTATAAGTTTGGGAAATACCAAAGTTCATATTCATGTATATGATTCTTATCACCATGATATGATTCACAAGCATTCTTGATTTTGAACCAATAACATTTTAATTGATTCTCTAAGAAAAAATTCCCACAGTAATACTTTGATTATAATTATAAATATATATATATTTGCTTGGGGAAATAGTGTTATGTATAGCACTACAATTTTCTTACATTTTTTTTACCTAACATATCAGATTATCATCAGTTGCTTGGAATGGGAAATGGTAAATGTTAAAATTTTCTAATGCGATTTTTGATTTTAAACGTCAAACATAACGCTCTTCTTACCCTTGACCAAAAACAATAATTTGAAAAAAAAAATACTATATTTACGGTAGACTTATTGGTTAAGAAATTCCTAGTAGTTTACTTAAAATAAAAATAATAATATTAATTTGCGTTTGCTTCTATTTTATTGCCCACCGTTGTATTAACACTCCCACGAATCCGAAACAATAGGAACTCTATCGCACTCTCCGATATGTCCAAAGTTCTATTGCACCGAAGAAAGCTTCGGTCGAAAGCTCTCCTCTCGCGACGCATTTTCTACAGCTGATTTGCTATTCGCATTCAGTTCAACCTCTCAGTTGGCAATCAACAGAAACAGCGATGAGTTCCCCGGTCAGCGAGTCCAAGCTCAAGGAGTACTACGATGTGGCCATGAAACTGGTCCTCAAGTGCGGACCTCTGATGCAGGAGGGCTACCAGAAGCCCAAGACGGACTACAAGGTCAAAGCGGACTTCTACGACCTGGTCACCGTTTATGACAAACAGATTGAGGATATCCTAACCGAGGGATTGGTGGCGGCCTTTCCCGAATCCCTAATCATTGGTGAGGAGGAGTCGGCAGCCTCGCACCGCCAGGCGGAACTGACGGACGCGCCCACCTGGATCATTGATCCCATCGATGGCACCACCAATTTCATCCACCGCATCCCACATTGCTGCATTTCCGTGGGTCTGGCCATAAACAAGGAGCTGGTGGTGGGCATCATCTACAACCCGCCGGCAAATGAGCTGTTCTCCGCCTACAAGGGCCATGGAGCCTACCTAAATGGCCAGCCCATCCACACATCCAAAGTGACGACGGTAAGAGAGTGCTTATATAATCCGGGAGCAACAAAAAATAGCGACAAACCAGATAAACGAAATTTAACAAATAACCGTGCATGTCATTTTGCCTGCACTCAGGTTTATGTGCACGGGGGAAAAATATGGGTTTATCTTAAATAGACATTTCGATAAGAAGTGATTTGACATATCCGTTACAAAGAAAATGCTCTGTCATATTTTATGAAGTAAATATGTTAAAAATAATATTTTATCAGTATCATAATTTATCTTTTTTTTAAGACTTGAAAGTATTCCATGATATACCAACCACACCTCTAAATATTTGTATACTAACAAAATTCCTATTTTTTATAAGGCAAACTTGGGGCGCTGCGCACTACCGCCACCGAGGCACTAAACACAATTCTCGATCTCCAACCCCTGGACCTACTTGCCAAAAGCTGGGCATCTGCAACAGCGCTGAGACTCCGTGAAGCAGCGGCTTGGACAACGGGCTCCACGGGTCACTCCATTATCCTATCAAAACATTCACCCCTACCACGTTATACAGACTACGTCCCACCCATAGTCAACTTCGAAAGAAGATACAAAATTCATATACCCACCCGTTCAGACTGGGACAACCTCCCACATCAATTCGTAAACGCCGTCAACATATACACTGACGGCTCCAAGTTTAACTCCCAAACAGGTGGGGGAGTCTTCTCCCCCGAACTAGACATAAAAGTCTCATTCCGCCTACCAGACCACTGTAGTGTTTTCCAAGCGGAAGTGATGGCAATTCAGGAAGCCACTACCCACCTGAACACGTCTGTACATAAAGACAGTGATATCTTCATATTCTCGGATAGTCAAGCTGCCCTCAGGGCCCTCGACTCCTACACAACGAGCTCAAAAACAATCTCTGAATGCCGCAAATCTCTTAACGAGATGGCCACTCATCTGAGAATCAGCCTCATCTGGGTGCCTGGGCACCGCAACATTGAGGGCAACTGCATAGCAGACGAGCTGGCAAGACAGGGGACAACCGCCGATATCCTTCGTGATAAGGACACGGTAGGGATGCCCATGGCTACCTGCAAGCTCCTTCTCAGGCAGAGATTGTATACTCTTTCCAACAACCGTTGGAACTCAATCTCAATATGCCACAATTCTAGACTCACATGGCCAAACTATAACACGAAAAGAAAAAAAACTCTCCTACAATGTAGTAGGGAGGACATCTCCACTCTCCTAAATGCCCTCACGGGCCACTGTCTCATAGGGACTCATGCGACAAGGCTGGGTCTAAGTAACCACGACTTCTGCCGCAGCTGCAAAGAGATAGACGAAGAGGAGAGCATCGAACACCTCCTATGCTTCTGCCCAGCGCATAACCTAAAGCGCTTTCAAACCCTAGGTAGCTACACACTTCCGAACCTTGCGGCCATTCAGGACGTAAGCATTCAAAAACTACTATGTTTCTTAAGAAGAACAGAATACTTCGCGAAGGCAGTAAACCCATGAGCTAGGGAAACGGATCTTTCAGAGATCATGTGGTATCACAAGGGACCCATTGTGGCCTAAGTGAGGGGACTAATATTTAGTCTCCAACCACTCCTACCTAACCTAACCTAACCATAAGGCAAACTTGTTTTATCTACACACAGTGTAGAACATGTACATATGTATGTCCAAAACATGGTAAAAAATTCGATTTCCTTATACATTTTTTTGTCTGTATCCGGGAGAATAGTATTTAATAGCATTCCCCTATATACAATGCTCTTCTTAAACCGCTCCCGCTCAATTAAATTCCCCTTTTCAGATCAACCAGGCGGTGATTGCCTACGAAATCTCCCTGATCCACGCCGCTGGAGTGAGAGACAAGAATGTGAAGCGACTGTACAAGATGGCCTCGAGTGCCACGGGAACCCGCTGCTTTGGAAGTGCAGCCCTGACCCTTTGCTACGTGGCCACTGGCCAGTGCGACGCCTATCATGTGGAGGACCTAAAACCCTGGGACATTGCTGCCGGAGCCATTATCCTGACCGAAGCCGGCGGCACTGTTTGTCACACCAGCGGATCCAAGTTCGATGTGATGAAACCCGATTGTGTATGCGCCTCCACGCCGGAGTTGGCCAAGAATGTGATTAGCCTTATCGAAGAGGCCGGCCAGATTACTGAGTACACATTCAAGTAAGGATTTTAACTGCTTATATCAGTATGCAAAGTCAGTATCTACATTTATCATTTGTAAATCAGCTGTAAACTATTGTAATCGTGAGAGATTAAACAGAATATTCCAGTATATAAAAACAATAAAAACGACTTATATCTCAGAGCAGAGAACCACTATATCTGGATAAAGCTCGCAAAAAAAGCTTTGCCATAATCATTTCACAGCTGATTCGGGAAAAATTGTAGTTCCCGAACTGATCAGTCGATAGTCGGAACATGAGTTATAAAATTGGGGAAGAAAAACTTAGCGAATACTACCAGGTATGCCTGGAACTGGTCAGGAAGTGCGGCCCACTCTTCTTGGAGGGTTTTCAAAAACCAAAAACAGATTACGAAGTGAAGTCGGCTTTTTATGATTTAGTCACGGTGTACGACAGGCAGATAGAATCCACACTAACCGAAGGTCTGCTTAAGGCTTTTCCGGAATCAAGAATTATAGGGGAGGAAGCTTTGGCAGGTGCCACAACACAACCGGAACTGACCGATGCCCCCACTTGGATCATAGATCCCATTGATGGAACTAACAACTACGTGCGAAAGATCCCCCATTGCTGTATCTCCGTGGGTCTGACCATTAACAAAGAGCTGGTGCTGGGGATTGTGTACAATCCACCGGCAAACGAGTTGTATTCAGCTTGGCAAGGTCACGGAGCTTTTTTAAATGACCAGCCCATTGAAGTTTCTAACGTAAAAGAGGTATGTGTGGGAAGAGTGATGAAATAAACTCATAATCTCTTAGAACTGATAAGATACGTTGTGACCAATAAGACGTTGTACAAGTTTTAGAAACTAAAACTGTTATATTTACAAGAATTGTTTAAATAAATCAACTATAAATGTATCTGTCAAAACAAATACGTACCAAAAAAAAACATTCATTTTCCTTAAAAAGTTATATGTATCAATGATAAACGTTATTTCCTACTGGACTTGAGAAAGTAACCCACGTGATATTTTAAATATTATAGAGATCACATTTGATATAATTTTCTTACATATTCTCTAATAAGCCAATTAAAAATATAAAACCAATAAATTTTTCTTAGCTTTCAAACTGATAACACATTGGCAACCTAACTCTTGGAACAAATAAATATTAAATAAGCATTTTTCAGAAACAATATAGACACGTTCAATTACAGATAAACCAAGCAGTCGTGGGCTATGAGATCTCCCTAATCGTGGTGTCCAATGGGCGGGACAAAAACGTGAAGCGCCTCTACAAGTTGGCCTCAAATGCCACTGGGTGAGTGACCCACAGCACTCTGATCTTTTCCTCATAATTTACACTGCATTCGGCTATCAGCACTCGCAGCTTTGGGTGTGCAGCTCTCACGCTCTGCTACATAGCAGCCGGTCGATGCGACGCCTATCATGTGGAGAATCTTAAGCCCTGGGATCTGGCTGGTGGTGCCGTAATCCTCAGGGAAGCTGGTGGTATCGTCTACCACACCAGCGGAGCAAAGTTTGATGTGATGAAGCCCGACTGCGTGTGCACATGTTCTGAAGGATTGGCCAAAAATGTAATCCAATTAATAGAGGAGGCGGACCAGATCGCAGACTATACTATCGAATAAAAAGGAACTACCTAGGATTTGATAGAACGAAGTGCGCAATTGTGTATTGACAAAAATAAAGGTAGTAAATTAACCCTAGTCCAATAAAAATGAACAGATGAACCTTTTGTGTTTGATTCAATGGGTTGAAAAGTTTAAAAAAAAAAAATAGATACAAAAACATACAGAACAAAAATATTTATGAATAAATTTCATATTTCCTCAAATGAACACAAAAACCAGATTTTATTGTTACATGTAGGCTTAACAAGCGGAAGTCCAAAGGGAATACGACAAACGTATCGATAAATTTTAGCACAAAACCCCGCTTGTAAGGTCTTTTTGACAATAATGACTTGCAGACCGATATTATAAATCACACAACAAGGACTGGAAGCGGGAAAAAATGCTGATAAAAACCGGTTTACAACTATTTGACTACACCGGCTGCCTGGTGAGATAAAGACTCTGTCTATTTGTGTACATCAAACAAATTTAGATAAAACAGAGGAAGGCTGCCAGGTGAGATGCCAATTTTAGTACCGGCTATGGGGCGCTGTCGCCGCGATCATAAAACGAGATGCAGGCAAACAACAATCAGAGAACGAACGTATTGCTGAATGTAACCAAATCGAAGAAAAGCTCCAGCGCCAGCCAGACGAAACAACCGGAGCGAGGAACTACCTTCAGACGGGCACAATTTCTATCTGATTAGTTGGCACCGCGAGCTGAGCAACAACGGATCGTTTTTGCCGAAGGTATTCGCACAGAAGCAACATGGCAGAAGTAACTCAAGCGGAAATCGAGGAGCTGTACAGCTTCATCCATCCCCTTGCTATCGAGGCGGGCGAGATCCTCATGGAGGGCTATGAGATGGCCAGCAAAAAGGTCTCCATCAAGGGCGATTTTTATGATGTGGTCACCGACTATGACAACAAGATCGAAGACTTTCTCATGGCCAAGATATTGGCCAGCTATCCTGGCCACAAGTTCATCGGTGAAGAGGCGACGGCCAAGAACAACAATGTGTCCGGGGAACTGACGGATGCTCCCACCTGGATCATAGATCCAATCGATGGAACTTCAAATTTCATCAAGCAGATCCCACACGTTTGTGTATCGATTGGTTTGGCCATCAACAAAAAGATTGTGGTTGGAGTGATTAACAATCCTGTCCAGAAGAAGCTCTTCACAACCAAATTGGGCCAAGGAGCCTTTTGCAATGGCAAGCCCATCCATGTGAGCGACTGTGAGAGCGTCAAGGATGCCAATGTGGCCTACGAAGTGTCCCTGCTGCACGTCCACTCCGTGGCCAACAAGCACATCAAGAGGATCTACCATGTGGGATTAAACGCGAGAAGGTGAGTGATAAATGTTTTTAATTACTTATGTCTTAGATGGGCGAAAATGGTGTGTGCATAGCGTTTATATGGCCCAAAAAGCTCAAATTATAAACCAAAAACTTGGATCTTAAAAATAAAATGTCTGAACTCGACTCACAAAAAAAAATATTTTGCGAAAACAATAAAATACATAGGAGTACAAAACAATTAACCTGTTCAAGCTCTTTATAAAGCTTCAATCGTATGTGGTTCCAATTTAATTAAAAGAGTCATGCAAAGTGTATATCTATAATATGCATGCATACGAGTATACACAGCTGTGATCAAAATAGTAGGTTTACTTAAATGATGTGTAAAAATATATTAAAGAAATAAAATAGGAATCTTGTCCAGCATTCTTGTTTAACTAAAATAATATTTAAATATTTTTTGAATTAAAATTATAAAATTATTTAATATTGAAATATTATTTTTACGTGTTATGCATAACTAAAGTAATATTAAAAAAGCTATTTTAACGTGTTTGCCTATATTTTCTATTTTTTAAATGATCCTGCAAATGGTTTTTGATTAATCCTGTTCTGTAACTCCAATTTATCCCCAGACTTGTGGCCTACTCCTGTGTGGTGGACGAGCTGTGCATGGTGGCTGCTGGCAATTTGGACGCCTTCTACATCGAGGACATGTATCCCTGGGACTGCGCCGCCGGTTCCCTGCTGGTGACGGAGGCGGGGGGCGTGGTAACGCATCCCTTTGGCGGACCCTTCGAAATAATGAAACCAGATCTCATCTGCGCCGGAACGGAGAAGTTGCGCAAAGAGATCGAGGATCTGTTGCGCAAAGCCGACCAGGAGGAGTCGGTGGGGGGCAAGCCAGTGCAGAAGTAATTAGAAACCTAATAACTAACCTTGGCAAAAACGATCCAAAATAAAAAGCTTGAGTTCTGGGTAACCATCACTTTATCTTTAGAAGCTTTGCGAATGGAAAGCTTTTAGATATCACCCCCCACTTTGATCGCCGGCAGCTGGTAGACACGACACAAAAAAAAAGGCGGGAAAGCAAATGACTCTCAGTTCTGCCTTTCAAAAACATTCTGTTATGATAAAGCATTTTGTTACCATAATTTTTAGCCTTAGGCTGCCAAATAAATCAAAATAAATATGAAGATGATCAATTACTTCTCAACGATTCTAGTTTCATATGTATATTCTTTTTAAAATAATTAAAACCATTTTGATATTTATATTATTTGAAGATTTTCATTAAAGGTACAAGTAAAAGATGTAAGAAGTAATAGCTTAGTTGCGGTAGAAATCACGGGTTTTAAAAAACCTTTTTGACATGTATCTAAGTAAACAAATTAATATCGATTTTAATGACATTTTTACAAAAGCAGTAATTTTGCCATTAATGAATATATTCAAATAAATCTATCTACTCCAATTTTATACCTTTGTCTTGGGCTCATTTTCTCGTCCTAGAAATCTACAACCTAGTCAACACAAAAAACTAAGTTTGAATCGTATTGAGCATAAGGACGATAAATAGACGTTAGAGCTTAACAGTTTCCTTTTTTGAAAAGCGAGGATAGAAGTATTTAGGAAGTATAATTGGTCTAGAATAAAATTGTGGGTTAGTCTGTCCCGACCAATTTAAAATGGGACTTTAGATAGCTAAATATTGAAATGTACTTTCTGTTCCAAAGCCTATGACTTGGTGTCACTTACATTGGGAGGCATTCCGTGGCTTTGGTATCCAATGGGGGACATATTCGGACCTGTCGGCGGCATCTGCATTCCCATGTGCGGACCTTTTGAGAAAACTACGGATAATTACGTGCGACTGAGGGATTTGGGGTGGGTTAGCTGAGGAACATACTCATCCCCTGGTGGTGCGGCGGCATATGATGGCCGGGAGGACCTTGCCCCGGCGGTCCGTGCTGCATGGGGTGTCCGTAGGCGCCGGGATGGCCAGGTGGCGGAGGTCCTTGCAGCGGACCCGGCTGCTGGTGGGGATAGGGGCTGTGCGGCGAGGGGGCGGGACTCTGCGAGGGCGGGGCCATCGGACTGGGCGCCTGTGGCGGGGGCATGGGACTGTTCGCCGGAGAGGGCGAGGCCATATCTTAGCTCTTGTTCCTCCGCTTTATCCTGGGAATCCTTCGATTAATATCCGACCAACTGGCGCAGCTTTGTCTGCAAATGGAACCCACGTCAATGCACTGTATTTAAAAACAATATAGAACCCATAGCCACGATATGTAATCCAAGCACTCTTTTTGTATGCGTTTTTTGGCACACTTTTTTGCGCAGTCCGTTGCAAACACAAAATAAACAGCCAAAGACGCGCCAAAACGATTGAATTTAACGTCCTGCTTATCGCGCACGAAGAACGCAATAGTATTGCCCTGTTTGGGACCATAAGTATTACCTATTAGCACTGTTTTTTGAAGGTTTTCCTCACTTTTTTCAACGCGACGCGACAGCAAAACTCTAATGGCGGCCGTCTCTATAACAAAAGTCACGCAATGGTGGCAACTCTGCCAACCGGCAATAAAAGTGGGCGCGCTCACCGCAGATCACTATAAATATTGTTGCAATATTTCTTTTGTACGCCTTTTAAAATGTTAATTAATTTAATTCAGTATAATTTAATAAACACGTTTGTAAAGTTATTTAATTTTTTTTTATTTTAAAAATATTTGTCCGATGAACGCACACTGTGACACGTCATGTTCGCGTGACCTGTGAATGGCAAAGACGAAACCATTCTCTCTGCCCAAAAAAAGTGAAAACAAGATTATTTCGATTTTGTATTAATTGTAGCACCAAATACAATTAATTAGGTTTACACTTAAGCATTTGGAGGCAGCGCCAGCACTAGACAAAGTTCAGCCGTAATCATGGGTTTGTAGACTCCAGGAATGGAACCTCCCACTCCAGCGACACCCGGTGACGATGTCTGGTCATAAAAATCGTACGTTCTTCCTCCAGGTGGGGTGCTCAGCTACTTTCGCGGATTGCTCGGCTCCCGGGAGATGCGCATCTTGATCCTGGGCCTGGACGGCGCTGGCAAGACCACCATCCTCTACAGACTGCAGGTGGGCGAGGTGGTCACCACGATACCCACCATCGGCTTCAACGTGGAGCAGGTCACCTACAAGAACCTCAAGTTCCAGGTCTGGGATTTGGGCGGACAAACAAGTATTAGGTGAGTGGGGGATTCTGGGGGAGGGGGTTTTCATAATCTGATAGGTAAGACATGCATATAATTAGGTTACACATATTTAGAAGCCCTACGGTGATTTGTTTATCTTTAAATTTTTAATTTAAACTTGAGAAGCAAAGTTTATGTTGTTACATATTATTTCAACCACTGATTCGACTCAAGCCTTTCTGGCTTTTAATAAATCATACTTATATTATGTGAGTCAGCACAGAGGACCACAAGATAAGGGAATATGATTTCTTTGACGTGTTTTGATAACTTTTCTTAAAAATTAGGTTCATTTTAATTATTCTTTTTCACTTCCATTTCCGAAAGTTTTCAATATTATTTACATGTGTAGGCTCTTATCATTTCCAAGTAATCGTGCTTTAGTAAAATTAACATTAAAGTAAAAATTTGCAAATATTTGTTTTTAAAAAAAGCGAAAACTAACTTCAAAGCCAAAGCGTAGAAAATAAATAATCGCTTTACAATCTCTAAATCCATTCCAGACCATACTGGCGTTGCTACTACAGCAACACAGACGCCATCATCTACGTGGTGGACTCGGCGGACCGGGACCGTATAGGCATTTCCAAGGACGAGCTGCTGTATATGCTGCGGGAGGAGGAGCTGGCCGGCGCGATACTGGTCGTCCTAGCGAACAAGCAGGACATGGACGGATGCATGACCGTCGCAGAGGTGCATCATGCGTTAGGGCTGGAGAACCTTAAGAACCGCACATTTCAAATATTCAAAACTTCGGCCACCAAGGGCGAGGGACTCGACCAGGCTATGGACTGGCTGTCCAACACCCTGCAGAGTCGCAAGTAGATCCTTAGCCAGTCCCCAGCACCCCCAGTCCCCTGTGTAAAAATGTGTGTCCAAAGCATCGCCAGCTAGGAATCGTCAACAGCTTTTTCAAATTGCAAATTGCGCAAAAATCCACGAACCGAAAGAAACTTTGTAATAACTTCTAGTAATATAATTAATAAATTATAGGATTAAACAATTCAGTAATTCATGCATTGGTTACCACTCGGCCAGGCCGAATCGCATCACCCGCTTCTCCTGATTGTCCAGATCCATGCGCACCTTCTGTCGCATGTAGAAGATGGGACAATCTCTGTTGGAGCAGATCACCTCCTCGTGCAAGGATTCCTGGCATCGCTGGCACTCCGTCCACAAGCGCGAGAAGGTCTCCTCCAGTTCCCTTTTGGCCCCCACCTCCTTCTGATAGAGCTCACTCATCCGCGGCTCGCAATGTGGACACAGGCAGGCCTGCTCGTAACCTTTTGGCATCAGGGATTTGCAGCCCAAGCAGGCGGTTTTCTTAGTCATAAAACCAGCTAGTCCACCCACTTTGGATGTTACCACAGTTCGCGTGCGAGTGTGCTCTCCCTTCAACAAAATGGACTCTGCATTATCCCCCAAGATAGGTTCGAAGATTCTCAGCAGCGGCTTGGACAGCTGCTGCTCCAGATAGTAAGTGGCATCGATGGGAACGCTGTTCTCCAGCACATACAGCGGATCCTCAGCCTTCTGGTAAGCTGGTGTATTCTTAGCTGCCGCACAGATCACATAAGGAACTCGATCCCCCAGCTTGGGTGCCGTGCCAGGATCTCTTTTCTTCATCTTGGCGGCCAACTCAACGTGCGCCTGTTTGGCAGCGTAATCCGTTTTGGCCAGCTCCTTTGTTATGACCAGATGGGAGATGTCTATGCGATTACAAAGAAGATCGGCTATCACCTGCTTTACATAGGCCACTGCTCCATCAGGATCCCTTTCGATGAGTAGTTTCTGCAGGCAGGAGTTCATCAGGTTGGCCACCAGTGGTGAGTTGTCTCTCCTCACGGTTTCGATGCCCTTGCAGTCCATTTTATCGTACGTATCAGGTCGGGTAAAGAACAATCCCGCATAGCGCTTCTTGTTGATCAGAAGGTACGGATAGTAGACCTTTTCAAACTCAAGTTTAATAGGATGCACGAACTTGGAACTGACCAGTTCCGCTGCCTCGCGACCTAGCTCCATGCTGCGCTCCAAGGTTTTTACTCCGAAATTAACCATCACGGAGTCAGTGTCTCCGTAGATGACCACAGCATTGTTTTCGTAACCATTGGCCTGTGTGTAGTGCGACTCCACTTCGTTTTTGGTCAACTCTATCATGGTGCGGCCGTATGCAGTAACGCTGCCAGATATTTCCAGACAGGGCAACTTTCCCACCTGAGCACCAGTGAATCCGTACACTGAATTAGCTGAAATCTTCAAAGCCAGCTGCCTACCGTCCAAAACCTTTCGTTTAAAGGGATCTGTCTCCACTTTGAGGTCATTTTTGGCGCGCTTTCTGGCTGCCAAAAGGGACTCCAGGATCTCAGGCAGCAGGCCACGACGCACCTCAGATTTTACAAAATAGTTATTGGCAGGCGTGCGCTCCACTTGGTCGTCCTGGAGGTTCTCCTGCTCACGCAGCTTCTCGCGAGTTCCACCTAAAACCAAGGTGGTGTAGCACAAGTTGTGCGCCATCATTATACTCGGATACAGGGAGGCGAAATCCAGCGTCGAGATGGGATCGGCATAGTAGCCTCTTTTTGGTTCAATCACAGTGGCTCCTTCGTACTGTTCATCCGATCCTTGAGATGTGTATGAGGGCATGATGAATCCCTTGGTTTTGGCCTTGCGCAGCAGTTGACTCAAAACCTTGATCTGTTGTCCACGGGTGAGCAGGGATTCCAGCGGCACTCCCGTCACCCTGGCCATTTCCATGTAGTTAACAATGGCCATCAGCTTCTCGAGCAATCTTAACGGCAGGTAGGCATCCTTGAGACAGTACATCGCCAGACGGCGACGTGTCTGCTCGTCTCCGTTCTGAAGATCGGTAATGATGCTGTGATGCACATCCTCCTTTTGCTCTTGCAGGAAATGATAACTCACAGCGTTGAGTGTATAGGAGCGAAGTTTGTAGTCGCGCAGCAAGACAAACAGGAGGTCGAAGGGAACTCTACCCTCAAAGTTCACATACTGATTCTCTCGGCGACCCATCTGCTTGGACTGCAGCATCTGTTCCTTGATCACCGAGCGAATGTTCTTGATTCTGCCAAGATATTCGAAGTTCTTAACCTTCAAATGCGCTGCTCGATTGAGCAAGTAGGGAAAGTCAAAGTTGTTAATATTATAGCCGGTCAGAATGTCCGGATCGACTTCACGGACAAATGCAGCCCACTTGTCCAGCATCTGCGTTTCCTTATCGTGGCACAGCACCTGGCTTCCTATAATGGGAGCACACTCATTCAGGGTAAAAACATTCCTGATGAATGGCTCTCGTTCTCCTTGCCGGATCACCATATTGGCTATCTGAATGACCGGATCCATTTTGGCCTCGGGAAAGATTCCTTTGCGACCAGCGCACTCTATGTCGAACGATAGGATGCGGAAGGGAGCCACCTTGGACCATTCGCCCTCTGGCTCATGGGAGATGAACCTGTCGAAAGCAATATCAACTTCGATCTGGCATCGGGATTCAGGCAGAGGCTTGCTGCGGCTGTTCCTCATTCGCCAGTGCCCTTTCGGAAGCTCAATCCAATTGCAGCCCACCACTCCCGTGTCCACCATGAAGCGGATGTCGAAGTCAATGTTGTTCTCGAAGGCGCGACAGTCCTGGAAGTCGATCTCCGACATGATAACCTCCTTTTTCAGCAGACGCGAGGCGGCGGCCACGAACCTTGGCAGCGTAACGGAGATTTTGATGTATCTCTGCTTCTTGTCTCCGTTGTAACCGTGTATATTCAGCTTCTCCACCAGTTCTACCATTAACACACCCTCCTGAACATTATCCTTGTTGTTGCGGATATCGGCAATGACCTTTTGGTCCAAAGCTTTCTGTAGTTTTTCGCAGTGGTGCTCCTCGAATTGCCTGGGTGCTTCTATGTAGAAGTACGGACAGAAGCCGTGAACATGACAGCACACAGAGTTGCCCTCCATGGTGACGCCAAACATGCGGACCACCGGCACGGGTCCTATTTGGGCACCTGGCATTCCCGGCAGAGGCTGTCCCAAGTAGTTTTCCACATCGAGCTGCTGAAACTCCAAACTATCCCTGGAGGGGTCCAGTTCTGGGGGCGGTGGACGGGACCAACGCTCACTGGTCTGCTGGTTCTCGGGTCCGTCGCCCATTAACAAGGTCTGGTCCATCTCCTCGGAGTTCTCAAAGGCGGCCAGCTCCGCCTCAAAGCCCATTTCCTCATCGTCGTCTGGGTTCCTGAGGGGTAAAACTTGTAATGCCTGGATTAAACTTTTTAAAGTTTTCCTACCTGGGCTTTTTGGCCTGGCCGTTGGATGGTCCATTAAACTTGCGCTTGGCGTCCATTCTGGGTACTCAAATGTCGCAAAAATCGCAAAAACATGAGACAAGATGTGCTGGTGCCAAAAAAATTAGGCGAGCTTTTGCAGGTGGTTAAAGTGTTACCGCTTTTGCTTGAAAAAATATACCATAAATTGCAAAACAACGGTTTGAGGAATTTGATTTACAAATATATCTTTCTTTTATAAATTAATTATTGCTGTCATTATATATAAAACTAGTGCAGAGGTCATAGTCAAACGTCGTATAGCTCTTAAGAAATTAAAATAAATATAAAGAAACCGGCATAAAAGAAATTTAACTTTTTATATTTTATGAATTGTATTGTTAATGTATTTATTTTTTTTTAGATAGTATAAATGGTTCGAACTTAAGTTAAAAAAAGCTAATTCAATCCGATAAAAATAATTAACATAAAATTGGTTCCTAAAATGTCTTAAAAATACCACAGCTGCACTTTAAAAAATACCGAAAGAGTTGTGAAATTCCCCGTGGCAGTGCTGGAAAACGCGCCATTCAGTGCTATCAGCTTGTATTGTACCACCAAAATCGCTCGTAGTCCTCCTGAATTTGGCAGGTAAAACGCATTAAACTGATTACCGCGATAGCCGTGCCGTCACCTGGAGATTCTTCCGAGAAAGGTGTCCCGCGATACGGAGGAGAACGCAGCTGCCGAGGAAACCTGCGGTGAAAATGACAAACCTGTGAATTGCCCGAAACAGTGCCTGGTGGGGGTGTCTCTCCTGCTCTCTCCCTCTCTCTCTCGCCATCCGCTCGACTCACCTCACCTCACCCCTCTCGCTTGCTCGCCCGCTGGAAGGAGGGGGATGGACGGTTAATGTTACGACGAGCACATCGCAGTGTGAATCACGTTTGGACGACCCCAAGGGAACGGGAACCCAGAGAAGCCAGCGATGTACCAGAGTGCCTGTCAGGCGGCCACCACGGGCTCCTGTGTCCCGGGAACCGGCCAGCAGCCGGACAACGAGCGACAGTCGGCGCTGATCGCTCAACAACCCCCCACCGCGCCCGTGGAGCCCGACTATAGTGGCTTCGATATCGTTAAGGCCACCCAGTACGGGGCCATTGCCCGCGTCCGGGAGCTGGTCGAGTCCGGGTGGGATGTCAATCAGCCGGACAGCGAAACGGTCACCCTGCTCCACTGGGCGGCCATCAACAATCGACGGGACATTATCCGGTACTTCCTCGAGAAGGGCGCCACCGTGGACGCCGTGGGCGGGGAGCTGAACGCTACACCCCTGCACTGGGCCACCCGACAGGGACATCTCGGTGCCGTCGTCCTGCTAATGGCCGCTGGCGCAGATCCAAGGATCAGGGATGCGGAGGGCTGCTCCTGCATACACATCGCCGCCCAGTTCGCGCACACTGCTCTGGTGGCCTACTTTATAGCCAAGGGCGTGGACCCGGATCTCCAGGATCGAGGCGGGATGACGGCGCTGATGTGGGCAGCATGGAAGGTGAGTTTGTTTCTGGGCACGCTGATACCACACTTATGGGGTATATATTACGAATTTGTAAAACACATTCCTCTTTTGGTTTATCATTTAATCTATAAACATCTGGAATAATAAGAAAGTCTTGAATGGCACAGTTTAACTGAACTCTTTTATTTATTTGGAAGATTGATGAATGTATAATTATTCTAGGAAATACGCAATGAATGTGTAATATAAGATAAGAATTCAAAAACAAAATGCCATAGAAATTATGTTGAAAATACCCAATTATCAATCTAAAAGATGACTAGCCATCTTTAAGATAGAAGTTTATCTATTTTCTCAAGTTTTTATTTAGCAAGCTATATGTACGCATATTTTAGACAGAGGAAGTCTTTCTTAAAGCCCTATTTCTAAATGATGTTAGCTTAAGATATTTTAAATATTCGGCGTTACTAATTATCTAATTTTTAAAGGTTTGCGCTTTGGATCCCGTGCGCTTGCTGCTGACCCTCGGAGCCAACCCCGCCATGGTTGATTATACGCATGGAAACACGGCCTTGCATTGGGCCATCCTGGCACGCAATGCCACGGCCATTTCCACACTGGTGCTCAAGTCGAAGGCCTCGCTAGATGTGCCCAATCTGCGGGGCGAGACGCCGCTCTCGATGCTGGAATCCCAGACGGGAGCAATTTGGATAGGGGCCAAGGTGATGGACCGCGTGAAAGAGGCGGCGCTCACCTCGCAGCAACGGCGATCGCTGGTCTCCAAGCTGCGGCACGACAAGCGCCTGAGGTGGTGGTCCATGGTGGCATGTCCCTTCACTGCTTTCTATCTGGCTGGCATCGTGTTCACCGTGAACACGCTGTACATCATCAAGTTTTTCCTACTGGGCTGTTTGTACGCCATATTCCACACGATCGGCAAAGCCCTGTTTGATGAGCACCTGATGGCCCTACTGCCCCTGAGCGTTTACCTGGCCACCAAGGCCTGGTTCTATGTCACCTGGCTGATGTACATCGACGATGCTGTGCCATTTACGGCCACCGTTTGCTTTCTGATCTCCTCGCTAGTTTTGTGGGTGTGCTTTCTCAAGTCGTGGAAGGGAGATCCGGGCATTATTCGGCCGACCAGAGAGCAACGATTTAAGGTAAGCACACTCTTCTTTGTTAATTAGATTAAATATGTCATTGTTATGAATAACTTATGAGTAGTTCAATATATGTGACAACTTATTTATCCCACATAGACCATCATAGAGCTTTCGGAGCGAGGTGGAATCGGCTTTGAGCCCGCCTCCTTCTGCTCCGGTTGCCTGGTGCGCCGCCCTATTCGGTCAAAACACTGCTCCGTGTGCGATCGCTGTGTGGCGAGATTCGATCACCACTGTCCTTGGGTGGGCAATTGCATCGGGCTGAAGAACCATAGCTACTTCATGGGATTCCTCTGGATGCTGCTGATTATGTGCGTCTGGATGCTGTACGGCGGCTCCAAGTACTATGTGAACCAGTGCAATGTGCGATTTGATGGTTAGTTAATCGATTGATCCTCTTATGAACCCATCTTATGCGTGAGTCACCCACAGATTTTCTCGGTGCCATGCGGGCCATTGGCAACTGCGACGCCTGGGTAGGCTGGGTAATGGGTAACGCCCTGCTGCACATGTCCTGGGTGATCCTGTTGACGATCTGCCAGACATATCAGGTGATTTGCCTGGGAATGACCACTAATGAGCGCATGAACCGCGGACGGTATCGCCACTTCCAGGCCAAGGGCGGCCACAGCCCCTTCACACGCGGTCCCATCCAGAACCTTGTGGACTTCCTCGAGTGCAGCTGCTTTGGATTGGTTCAGCCAAAGCGGGTGGACTGGATGAACTACTATGACTACGATGCCCAGACGCATCAGACCATCGAGAAGGAGCCGCTTCTGAGCGTGGACTGCCCAGATGGAATGGCTGGCGAGCACCAGTACGTGTAGGATAAGTCCTATCGGGATGCGAAGACGCTTCAGATGCCCATCGCGCATGTTTAACAACCGACACCAAACGCTTTAGATAGTCCGCTAATGCTTTTTCTCTTTCCCAAAAATCCCACCCGTTTCATTTCCCTCAACCATTTTAATTGGTCCCGCTGATCTGCTGCAAAAATATATAAGCCACGATTCGCGAAGAAGAATTCAACACAGCCAAGACAGAAGCGTCATCGCTGACCGATATCGGATGGACGAGTTGGGGTCCGGGCCAAGTACGGCTACCCTTCACTTAAGTACATATTATGCATGTATTACTGTAATTACTCTGTACATTTCTGCGTATTTCTTACTCTTCGATCATAAGCCGAAAGTACACAAAACGTTTTTGTCCTTTAAAGTATTTGTATACCAAAAACCTAAATGCAATCGTAAGCAAATGAACACCGAACAAATTTACCAATGCAACCATAATCAAAACCAGAGTTTGTTTAAGCGTGCAATATTCAAGATTCTATTTCACGTACTGAGATATTAACAAATTGTAAAGCGCACACAACAAAAGAGAACACCAAATTGAAACTGTCAACGTTTTAAGGTACTTGCATGGGGTGGACTCTGAGCGAAGTTTCTCCTAGATTGAATGGATAATCCGGCATTATGTATTACAGAAAGGCAAAATTAAAGTGAAAATTCAGGAATACGTACTCATTTACGTACTTTGAAACGCTACCAGCTCTCTAGGATCGAAAACTTCGCTTCAGCAACAGCACGCAAAGACCCTTAACATTTTAACATGGCAAATACAGCGAAGACAAAAATTAACCAATCGATCCCAAGCACTAGCATACTTAAACAAATAATGAATAAATTCTAATGCGATCCAATTCTAATTATGCACTAGTCTAGTCAGAAAATCATTTAAGTAAAATGTTAAAGTGCAACTACAGCCACAAAATCGATAAAATAAATTGCATATTTATATAAACCCATATAGCTATGAAATGATCTATTTATTATGTAAAAGGAATTTCAGCAACCTGAGAACAACACGCATAGCAATGAATAAAATATGTTGTAATTGTAACACGTTACTTAAATGCATTTAAATATTAATTCAAACGAAACCTACAAACAAATTTAATACGAAGAATCGCTAAGCAAACATTTTCAACTATGTACTAAATACTGATTAAACATACAACTTTTTCGATGTATTTTGTATTTGAGATTATACAAATGGAGATGGAGACGAAGCGATTTGCTATTAAAGTAATGTATATGTTTCAAATCCATTTTGTATATTCCTTTCGCTCGCATTGCTACAAAAATAAAGCTTTCAAAAGACTATATAAATCGAACAAGATCTAACATCAAGCAAGGCCCCATAAAGCATTGCGCATATTAACGTATAAACTAAGTGTTTTTTGGCCTATTTAATGAAAAATCAAGCAAATCAACCCCATTGCCTACATCTTTAGTTTAGCGGCTAAGTTCAAGACAAATATATTTAACTAAAGATATATAAATGAATGTATTAAATAGTGTGTAGAACGATGGAAATTGTGAGCTCGATGAAGTGTATGTGTATGTGCGTTAAAAATAAATTTGAATAATAAATAGAACTTTATTCCGTATTCAAAAAACAATTTTTTTATTTATTTTATGGCTAGCAACTTA